CTTTGATATCCCCCACCTCCCTCCCTCCCTCCCTCTCTCTCTCTCCCCCTCTCTCCAAGTGTTCCACCACTGAGCCACACCCCCAGCCCTCAGTGTTTTGAGACAGTCTTGCCGAGTTGCTTACACAGGCCCTGGACTTTGGAGCCTCCTGTCTTTGTCTCCTGAAGGCTGTGTTAACAAGTGTAGACTGCCACCCTTGGGTTATCTTTCATCTGTGACCTAACAGTTTACTAAAGGATGAACGAATGAACCTGTTTTGAATACCTCTGGTTCAGAGGCTTTTGGAGTACCTCGTTTTCCTGCCTTTGCGGGAACTGACCAAAGGACTGACTGCTGATTTTGGTCTTAGATAAATTTTCTGGAAGGGTTTGAGGTGATGTTACAGAAGAGCACTGATGCAAAGGAAAGAGGAACAGCTGACAGTTGTTTGTACAAGGCAACCTTTGCTGACATGGTGACTTTTTCACCTGCAGGGTGAGCTGCACCCCCAAGTTGGATGGCTGTTGAGACAGGGAGAAATACATTATGAAAATTGAATTTGGCTGATGATTAAGTTTAAAACACATTTCCCTTCTCAATATCAATGTCATTACCTTGAACATCTTCTTTGAGGACAGTTGCCTTGGATGGGGGACAGCTGAGGCACATGGAGGCTATAGAGTCAATCACCCACTTAACATGCACTAGTCAGGCTTTGTGAAATATCACCCCTGATGCTGGGTGCTTATCTTTTATGGAACAGCTTGCAAATCCTAATTGTTTTAAACTGACTCTGAGGAAAAGAGATTTGAGAATCAATAAATCACAGCTCCCATACATACAAATGTGCCTCATTACAATGAAGACAATCTGATGACTCTTTAGGTCAAATAACAAAAGGGTTGGACTTGAGTCTTCTTACAAGGCTTGAATGTGCTTTTTCTCTCTCTGGTCCCAGTGTCCAGGGCTACATATGGATATTTGTTTAGATGGCATGAATTGATGAGGGTTCATTGCTTGCTATGGTGGTTGTATGTCTTCTTTATAAGGTTCATTAATGCAGAAACAACAATATTTATATCTTTAAATATTGATGTGTTGGGAACAGCTAAATAAACTATTCTAAGAGCCTTGCCATCTGCTATTCAAACACAGCTTTCTCTACAATTTTATAGACTTTTACCCAAGGTCACCCATCTCAGTCCTCTCTTGAGCCTTGGATATGCTCAGATCTGGAAAGCAACTAGTATTTTCTTTTTGGAGAGAAGTTGTGTTGTACAGGGAGATAGTGGTAAGGCGCAGAGGGGTAATTCTGTTTTTTTTTTTTTCTCCAGCTGAAGGAAATGCTTTCCTCACCCTCAGCCAGAATTTTGGTGACTCAGTTTTCTTAAGTTGTCTTCACATTTGACAGTTCCTTCTTTTCTGCCATCGTGTGGCATGGTGAAATTTCCTTTAATGATGAGAATGGATTTATCATTCAACTGAGTTTTTCTTCCTTTGCATTTTAAAAACCATATGAAAACTTTGTCTGGTCCCACACAGATGTTTTTCTACTTGTCTTGGTGCTTCTTCGAAGCATCAGATTGCAGTATTGACTGTGTCGTTCATGAACCATCCTTAATGTCTGTACACATGCATGTTTTCACACAGTACTTTGATAGATGTGTTCATTCTGGCATTGGGATTGTAAGCCAGTATTTAAAATAACTGTCCTTCAGCAAAACTACAAAGAGAATATACAGCATGAAGAAGTTTCTTTTAGCTCGCAGCCCAGGATAAGTGGTTCTGTCACTGAGGTGGGATGTAGAGACAGCCCCTGGGAACTTGGTCCTGTTGCTCATCCCTTGCTCTGACCTAGGAAGTTGCAAGGAACTAGGAAGTCAGGTCAGGAAGTTGTCAAGCAGGAAAAGGAAGCAGGTACTGCATATGTTTGAGTTTTGTATCAAGTTTAAATCTTTATTTAGACTAAAAGGGGAATTGTAGGGTTACGGGGACAGGTAAGGATAAAAGGAAAGGAAAAGCAAAAGCTTGCTCTCTTGGAAGCGGGCCACGTTCCCAGAGCTCCCATCCCTCTGTTTATCTTGTAAGTATATTTAATAAATATATTAGACCTCCTTTTTCAGATGGCGTTATTTCTTTTCATCTTCAAGTATTTACCAACGAAAAGAGTTTTGAGAATGTAGGATGTTGAACTTTTTCCATGCTGTCAGCTTGTTAGTCTGCTGTCTTTGAAGGTGATCTTTATATTTCTTTATTTGTAAACAGAGTTTCCTGTCCTGACTGCCCACTCCCCATCCCAGCAGCAGTTTCCAAATGACCACATAGAGACTTAACATTATTTATAAATGCTTGGCCAATAGCTTAGGCTTATTAACTAGCTCTAAAATTGAAATTAAACCATATTCCTTATTTATGCTGTGCCACATGGAGGTAACTTTTCTAAGTACGGTGTGCCTGTCTTGCTCTCTTTATGCTTGCAGGAGACTCTCCTCTGACTTTGCCCTTCTCCTCCCATCATCCTTAGACTTCCTGCCTGGCTACTGACCAATCAGCATTTTATTAAACCAATTTGAGTGACAAATCTTTACAGTGTATAAGAGGATTATTCCACAGCAAGTATACTTTGTATTTCCTTCTGATAATTTATTAACATAAATTCATTATTGAGAATTTATAAAAGATAGGAGAATAAAAGTTTAGAAGAATACAAATTGGGAATAAACTTTCAAGAATAAATATACTTTGGGATAGTAATTTATTCCCTTATTATATCTCCCAATCCTGTGCCTCTAAATTTACATTCTGGCTATTTTTGTGTACATAACCAGAACATTATGTTTATTACAAAACTGGAACTCATACTTTACCCTTGCTTTTCATCAATTGTTCTTTGTAACCAGAATTTTTCTTTCTTTTTTTATTATCATAATTTTTTTTGTGTTTACATCCCAATCAAAATTTTCCCTTTAAGCCGGGCGGTGGTGGCGCACGCCTTTAATTCCTGGGAGGCAGAGGCAGGCGGATCTCTGTGAGTTCGAGGCCAGGCAGGACTGACAGCCTCCAAAACAATACAGAGAAACCCTGTCTCGTAAAACCAAAAAAAAAAAAAAATTTCCCTTTGTCCCCTCTTCCCAGTCCCTCCCACCCCAATCCATGCCTTCTCTATGGTTTCTCTTCAAATATGAAAGGTCTCCCATGGCTACCAGCCAGCCAGGGTGTATCAAGTTGCAAGGAGACTAGGCACCTCCTCTTGCGTTAAGGCTGGGTGAGGCAATCTGTTAGGGAGAATGGGTCCAAAACGCAAGCAGGCATCAGAGTCTGAGATAGCTCCTGCTCTCCTCACCCTTAGGAGTGTCACATGAAGACCAAGTTATACAACTGTTACTTATATGCAGAGGGTCTAGGTGAGTCCCATGCAGGCTCCCTGGTTGTTCATCAGTCTCTGTGAGCCCCTATGAACCCAGGTTAGTTGGGAACCAGATTCTTAATGGCTAGTTACTGACTCACTTTAGAGTCCCATTGTATAGTAATGGCTGTCCCACGGGAAGTTCTGTTTGAAATTCACATAGTTTTCATTTTCTCTTTAAAACAACTTCACAGTAAATATCCTTATATGCAAATTTTCTGTTGACTTTTGTTTAGGGGTCATTTTTGGATGTTTAATTACTAGGTCAAAGGTACAAACAGTTCTTGACAGGTAGTTCCCTGTTAACAGCAAGACAGGTTGTGTCAAGTTCCATATTCCCCTTAGAAGAGTTCAGGAGTGCTTTCTTCTGAAGCCCAGCATTATTATTTAATGGAAACAGTAGGGCAGGAAAGCATCCTCTTGGTTTAATTTAAATTTCTTAGACTATTTTGTTGAGTTTTTTTCATTTTTTTTTGTCAGCATAAAATGACTCCATCTCTTACCCATTATTTAGTTTCACTGGGGAGAAAGGTTTTTGGAGTATATATATATATTTTAATGCCAGTGATCTTAAGGTATAGCACACTTAAAAACTGTGTTTAAGCTGTAGCATAAAATAATACACTGTTAATGATGAATAAGGAGTGCATAATTGCCATCGCTTTGTGCTTTCCTCTTTGGATTCCAGAGCTGTTTTCATGGCCTCTATACATTTACCCTAGCCTTGAAGAAATGTTACTGAAATAAATTATATCATTTCCATTCATTCCCTATTTCCTTTCCTTCTTCTAGCTCCTTCCATGTGCTGCTCACTCCATTCCCTCTCAAATTCATGGCTGTTTCCTCTTTGCTATTGTTACATACACAGAGAGACATATACAGACACAGGCATGGACAGACACACAGACACATGATACATACATGCATACATACAGACAGACAGACAGACATACAGGCAGACAGACAGACACCATACATATACCACACCAACAACCTACTGAGTCCACTTAGTGCTACTTGCATGTTCATGATTGTAGTGCCAACTACTTGGAAATGGGTAACCAATGAGGAGGCACCTCCCTGGGGGATGACTTTTTCCTAGTCTCAGCATCCCTTAGATGCCTGTAGTTTTTTTGTCTGAGTTGGGACCCGTGAGATTTCCTTTGTCCCAGTTGGCATGACTACTGTCTACCCTTGCTCTGATATATGTGCATACCTCTTGTCAACTTCAGAGGCCAGGGTTTTCTTCCTTTCCCATCAACTCCATGCCTAGAGAGTGTTTTTGGGCCCATGATAGATTAGTGTTTTTTGGCAAGATTGTGTCATTGGCACAATGGCTGTTTTTATGTTTATAGCACTGAGAGTTAGGCCTCTACTCAAGTTTGCTATGGGAGTCATACTTAAACTTTTTTATTGTTAGTAATAGTGAAAGGAAGTGCCAAGTTTTTATCAGCAATGGAAGTAATCTGTTTATATAATTCTATTTTCTTTTAGTTCAACATTTGTGAAATTTAGGTAATAGAAGTTATGTAGATGGTTGCCAAATGTTCCCATGCTTTTGAAAACCCATGCAGTTTCTCAGTACTTACCTCCTTAAATCTTGATCCCTCTACAGGAGTTCCACCAGATGCAGGAGTCTAACAACTCTCATTGCTCAAAGTAATTGAAATTAATAGCAGAAGACTTAGTGTGCACCCGGGAAGCTCATGCCAGAAAGTGATTCTATCCTGTTGAAAGTATGTAATCCTAGCTGGGGTAAGTGATAGGCCTCTTCCTTCTGTGGTGTGCCATGGTAAGAGGTAATTTAATGTTTTCTTAATTTTATCTAATTCTTTATGATTTTTTGTTATACACTTAAATTCACATATTCCTCTTGGTCACTTGTTTACATGCATTAGTCATAATGCATGTTCTATGGAAGACTTGGAGAAACCTCTGTTGAAAGTATAAATGCGTGCTGTAGGGTTTCCACATGAAATCATGTTGTCTGTCTTCCTTGGAGGGGTCAGGAAGATGAGTTAAGAGCGTCCTGAGATTTTATTTATAATTTAATGCTCTAAATGTTTTACTTTAAGAGCTACAAGCACATTATGGTGTTATTTATCATTACTGATAATTAGTTCTAGGGGGTGTGTATATGCAGTCTTACTATATTGTTCTCTGTACTAATTATTTTAACCATTTTCCCAAATAGTGAAAAAGAACCATAGCAGTTTGGACTTCAGGCCAAGTGAAAGTTCAAATTGTGTATTTATGTAAAGAGTTTGATATGTAATAATATCCAAGGGAATTACCTATAAACGATGATTAACACTGTTGGTACACTTTTTTGGGGGAGGGGTTTGAGACAGAGTTTCTCTGTGACTTTGGAGGCTGTCCTCTTGTAGAGAAGGCTGGTCTCAAACTCACAAAGATCAGCCTGCCTCTGCCTCCCTAGTGCTGGGATTAAAGGTGTGTACTACCACCACCCGGGTACTCGTTTTATAAAGTTGTTGTGAGAATCCCACAAGTACCTCATCTAGTAGTTGGCTCCTGGAAAACGCATGTTCTTTCTTCATCTCCTGCCAGAGAATGATGGGAAGTACTTGAAAGTGTAAAAGGGGGCATTGAAGAGACTCATAAGAGAGAGAGATGCAGATTTGGATTTCTAAAGTTTTCAAGGCAAAGGCATTTCAAAGATCTTGTGTTAGTCACTTTTCTGTGACAGATACACAGATACCTCACAGAAGCAGCTTAAGGGAGGAAGTTGGTCTTTTTTTTTTTTTTTTTTTTTCTTTTGGCTGACAGTTTCACAGAGTCAGTCCATGCTTGCTGGTCCAGAACATCATGGTAGCAGACACTTTGGTTGACAATCTCCTTCATTTCTTAGGGGACAGGCAGCAGGAAAAGAGGGAATGCAGGAAGGGGCCGCACTACAGGTAGCCTTAAAGGGATTCTCTGTTCACCCATTTTCTCCAACTATGTCTTCGCTCTTACCCTTTACCACATCCCAATGGTGTCATTGTAAGTCTATTAGAAATTAATCCATAATCTTATTGTTTCTGGAAATAATATTCCAGGTACACTCTGAACACATCTAATGCCCCAGGGATTTATTAATGTTATCAAATTTGCACTTAGAATGAACTCTCATGGATATCTTTGTATGAACTTCTTTTTTATGTGTGTGTGGGGCTTAAACAGTTGTGATTAGAGAAAGGCAAAGCCAACAGTTGCTTCAGTATTAGTTTCTTGTTCATGGTTTCTGTTGTGGGAGGGAGCCCATCATGGGCACCTTTGTGCTTAAACCTAGGAGGCAAAAACCCAAGAAGTTGGTGCTGGCGGAAGCTGAGGGGCGTGGGTATGTGAGAGATGCATGGTTTCCAGGGTGTTCAGTAGCTCTCTGTCTCAGTTTGTGTTAAGTGCTTGGATATTTCATGGATTCTTTTTCTGAAATAGTGAAGATTGAGTGTAATTTAATTTTGAAAAAAAAACACCTAAATTCACAGCAAGGGTCCTTTATCTTCTCTAGACACAAGATTATGCATTTCAAGCTGCAATAAATAAAGGTCCAAAAGAGCCAGAATATCCTGTCATCAGAGAAAAATTTGATCACACTGTACATAATAAGTCAGAAAAATGTCTGTGTAGATTTTAGAAGTATTATAGCAGTTTATATTAAAGACTGGGTTAACCTTCCATTGAACAGATGGTGAAATTATTGGAATACTACTCAATAAGCTCTTGCATTTGATCTACTTAGCTTTCTTCGGTGCTGCTTTATTAGAAATGCATTTGGTTCCTCCAATGTGAATTAATAGTTTTTCTGAAATGAGATTTTCTTGTACAAATACTTTTTCATATGAATTAAATAGACAGTTGAGGTAAAGGTGGAGGAAAATCTAGAGAATTTCCCATCACTGAAAGTACATTCTGGAAGGTAGGCTTTCTATTTTTTGGAGATGTTGAAGCCAGTTTCTTCTTGTAAATGTATTATTGTAAAATTTGTTTCTGTGTCACATTGTGTGCTTAATTCTATAATTTTAAATTAAGCTGTAGGAAAGTTTTCATTCTTACATGCACTGGAGTTTTCTTACAGTTCCTGCAGGGCATCTGTAGTATTTTTATGTTTAGAGGTAATTCTTATAGCTTAGATATTGGACTGCTATTAAGAACTGAAGTTCTTTTTCTTTTTGCTTGTGTGTGGGTGCATGTGAACATGTAGGTGTGTGCGCACCTGTGTCTTTGTACACACAGAGGGCAGAGGTCGACATGTCTTGATCCTATGTTTTCTTCAATTGCTCTCCACCTTATATATTGAGGTAGGGTCTCTTCAACCCAGAGCTTGTGCATTTGGCTAGATTAGCTAGCTAGCTTGTTCTGGGAAATCCCCTGTGTCCCCCCTCCCAGCATTTACATCAATGGTGGAGGTCAAAATTGAGTCACCTCCTTGGCTCTGTAGGTCTTCAGAGAATATTTTTATGTTTTCATGGATAGAGTTGATGACAGTGCTGTGAAACATTGTATATGAAAGTACTTTTAATCCTGGCAGCAGATCACAAATCTTAGGAAGTGGTACTTGGAGTTGATAACTCACTGCAACCATGTGGGAGTAGTTTTCTCAGAGCAGAGCAAGCCAGGGAAACAATTGCGTGGGAAGTGATTTTTCTGTTTTCTTGTGTGTCTGTTTGCGGGAAGACTAATGTAATAAATACCTAAACATACCAGGAAGTAAGTAGTGACTTCCTTACTTCTGTGCTTATTACTTGATTGACACTGACTTGGGTTTATTCTGAAGGATTTGTAGACATCAATGGCAGAATCATCCAGTGACTCAGACCACTTCCGCTATCGTGACCGACTTAGTCGACGGGCAGCCAGGACAATTCACAGGGAAACTGGAAGTCATCCTGCTGTAGATGTCACTGCAAAGATCAACACTATAACCAGTACTTTACAGGTTCGTTTGACAGTGCTTGCATTTGGTAGATTTTTAAGTAGTCTGAGCCAACTCAGCATCTTGTTTTACTTTAGTACTGTAATAAATGACCCTCAGGTGACGCCTGTCTCACAGCCCTGTAGGTCCGAAAAAGGAAAATTCTGTTCATTTGCCCTTTGTAGCCACTCATGTACCTTGCCTTGGGCCTCTCTTCCTTCATCCTCAGAGCCAGGTGTCGGGGGTGGGGGGGTGGGGGGGGAGTTAGGGGGTGGGGGGGAGGTGGGGGGGTTGGGGGAGGGGATTCTTCTCTGCCTCACTATGTCCTCTCTTCTGCCTTCCTTTTCCTTTTTTGTTGCTGATGGTTTTCCTGGTATACTAGGGTTCCACCCAAGGCCTTGTGCATGCTATATGCAAGTGCTCTACCGCTGGGCCACACTGCCAGCCACCCCTCCTCTGTTAAGGACGCTTGTGATTTCATTGTGTCCTCTCAGTAATCCAGGAGCAACCCCACTCTAGGTGTTAAGTCACATCTGCACAATCCCCTTTGACATATAAGTTTCATACACATTATTCTAGCAAGTAGGACTCAGAAATGACGAGGTCTGGTTCCCATGGTGATGATACCTGAACTATCTGATAGGTTGTTGAGAATGTCTTAGGATAAAACTGTGTTTGCAAGTAAAATATTGTGGGAGTGAAAGCAGGGGCGAGCACAGATGTCTAGCTTCCTGTGCCCTTTTGCCCCTTGGAGTTTTGGGGAAGCAGATTGCCAGTGGATGGCTGATATGTATAGAGACGCCGTTTTGATTTTGAAGGTAATTCCTGAGAGTGCTTGGAAGTTGGAGTGGGGGCAGTATGAGCTTTCCCTATGAAGAGCTTGGAAAGGGCGTAGGACAGGTAGTGCAGGAGACAAACCCAGAAATGGAATTATTTTCAGCTGATTAGTCCCTTGCTTTTGCCTTAGTCCATATAAATCAGAAATTTGGCTTGAATTGCTTTGGGTTAGTGTGCTTGATTGGAAAAGAGTAGTTGTTGGGTAAATAACAATTTTACATAAGAGTACCAACACCTGTTCTTTGTAAACTTATTTAAGCTAACTTACAATGGGATTTTAGAGTTGGACTCTTTCTACCTTCCTGCCAAAGAGAAACATTAGTAAGTAGGCATATTCAAAAGAGCCTACTCTATCAATCTTCTGTAAAACCAAGCACACTTAGGTAGAAACTCTCTGATTAGGTAATAAATAAATTTATTGTTTATTAAAAGATTAAAGGGCCCATTTTCTTTTCTTAATCACGTTCTGTAGTGAGGAATTAACTGGAGTACAGGAGACCTAACTTTTCTTTATATACCTGAGCACATTTGCAAGTCAGGATTCCTTTCTGCTCTTTTTCTTCTCCCTCCCTCCCTCCCTCCCTACATCCCTTCCTCCTTCTCTCTTCTTATACTATTTTTTATACTTACACTATGTTCTATGGCATAGCCCATTCTGGCCTCCAGCTTGCTGTGCGCTTAACCCACCCTGCTAACTTGATGCTCTGGATTGCTTTTCTGTAAGAACAGTGTAAAGACAAAGTGCACACATTTCTGAAGAGGACTCTTCTCAATTTGTGATTTTCTTGCCAACTTACTAGGACTTGTAAATTAAATGCTTTTAATTTTACATAAATAAATTGTGGGTGGATTTGGGATTCCCTCGAAGTGTTGTAGCAATTTGATGTGCATGAAGTATGTTGATATCCAAGTCACCTGGCATAAATTATACTTTTACAAATGTCAGTTGGGGTTCTTAGATGGTACTAAATGGTTTGGGATGACGGAGTATTCTCTTTCTCAAGGACACCAGTCGGAACCTGCGACAAGTGGATGCGATGCTTGGGCGATATCGAGAGCATAGCATTGGGCAGGCAGGCGCTATTGAGCAGGTGAGATGCAGTCTAAGGCAGTGGGAATATGAGTAAGACAAGTAGATAGTGGTATGAATTAGTATACATTTTAATCTGCCTTACTGTTTTCAGTTTAAATTTAGTAAGCGAACTCAGATTTCCAACTTGGTGTTTGTTTCCAGCCACTGTGAGAAAAAAGACCTCGGAAAGCAAGAGTTGTTTTGCCTCTGACTCTTCCTTAGTCTGTTTGTCCCTCTTTGGCTTCCTTAAACTCTTGTTCTGTTCTGACAGTGGGTTGTTACAGATTTTTCATTCATTCTAGCTACTTAGGGTAGCAGCGATTTTCTTCTGCTACTTAGAAATTATTGGGAGAGGGAAGACAGGCAGCTGAGAGTTTCTCAGGAATGATTCTGGTGGCTTCTTACTGACAGCTGATGTAATATTAGATGTTATAAGTTATGTGTGTACTATGGCACCTCATGGTTTACCTGGGCCTTTTTATTTATAATCTTCAAGTCTTCAAAGTACTTGGTAAAATTTTCCATCTTTACAAAAGGCCCAATATGTTGTGTGTGCATATGTATGTAACTTGGTATGTGTGAGGGTAAATGTATGTGTGTAGATGTGTGTGTAGGCCAGAGGTCATCCTTTAGTGTTGTTCCTCAGAAGCCGTCTATCTTTTTGAGACACGGTCTCTTGCTGGGATCTGGGGCTCATAGATTATGCTAGACTAGCATAATCTTTCCAGGTTGAAGTTACAGTTATGATAATTCCACCATACCTTGCATTTTATGTAGGTGCTGGGAATTGGATTTAGGTTCTGATGCTTGCATGGCAAGCAATTTGGCAGCCAAGCTGCTTCTCCATGCTCCCTGCTCCTGTCTTTTTATGAAATTGCATTTAGTTGGGGCTGGAACAATGGTACTTGCTGCACTTACAGAGCACCTGAGTTCAGTTCTCAGCACACACGGCAACTCGAAACCATCTGTAATTGCAGGGGATCTGATGCCCTCTTCTGGATTTAGTGGGTACTAGGTATGCACATGATGCATATACCTACCCCTATGCCCATAAAATAAAAATAAATAAATCTTTAAAAATAAGTACATTTTATTTGTTCATTTTTTGTGTGCATGCACACCTTAATATGTGTGTTGAAGTCAGGACAACTTGCAGGAGCATATCTTTCCTTTAACTGTGAGGGTTCCAAGGATGGACTTGGGTTATCAGTCTTGGTGACAAGTGCTTTTACTGGCTGAGCTAGCTCACCACAAGGCTAGAATGAGAGCAAGATGGAACTCATACAGAATTTCCAGAATGGGGAAGGAACTGAGCTAGGATCTTGGTACCTAGAAATCAGTGGTTCTTGTCACTGCGTCAGCAGTGGAGTATAGTTGGAGTAGCCTGTAGCAGCATTGGCTTTCCCCTTCATCAACAGAATAGATTTTCACATGCCTTTCTTGTAAGTGTTCTGGTTGGTGAACATGTTCAGTTGTACAATGTGCCTTAGATTTTTTTGGGATTCTGAAGTTTTTGACCCTGAGTTATTTCTCATGCTGTGAATTTCCTGGGAGCTCTGAGAACATTTTAGTCACAGAGAATGTGTGAGAAGGTTTCCTTTTAATATTTAACATGCAGTCAGCATAGTAAAAATGGCAATCTTACCAAAAGCAATCTACAGATTCAATGCAATCCCTATCAAAATCCCAGCACAAGTCTTCCCAGACCTTGAAGGGACACCACTCAACTTTATATGAAAAAAAAAAGACCCAGGCTAGCCAAAACAACCCTGTACAATAAAGGATCTTCAAGAGGCATCACTATCCCTGACTTTGGTATTGGCACAAAAGTAGACAGGTAGACCAATGGAATTGAATTGAAGACCTTGATATTAACCCATACACCTATGAACACTTGATTTTTGACAAAGAAGCTAAAACTATACAATGGAAAAAAGAAAGCATCTTCAACAAATGGTGCTAGCATAACTGGAGGCTGACATGTAGAAGACTGCAGATAGACCCATATCTATCACCATGCACAAAACTTAAGTCCAAATGGATCAAAGACTTCAACATAAATCCAGCCACACTGAACCTCTTAGAAGGCAAAGTGGGAGGTGCCCTTGAACGAATTGGCACTGGAGACTGCTTCCTGAACATAACACCAGTAGCACAGACACTGAGATTAACAATTAATAAATGGAACCTCCTGAAACTGAGAAGCATCTGTAAGGCAAAGGACACAGTCAGCAAGACAAAAAGGCAGCCCATAGAATGGGAAAAGATCTTCACTAACCTCACTTCAGACAGAGTGTTGATCTCTAAAATTTACAAAGAACTCAAGAAGCTAGCCACCAAAACACCAAATAATTCAGTTAAAAGGTAGGGTGCAGGACTAAACAGAGAATTTTCAATAGAAGAATCTAAAATGATTGAAAGACACTAAAGAAGTTGCTCAACATCAGGGAAATGCAAATCAAAACATCTCTGAAATACCGTCTTACATCCATTAGAATGACTAAAATCAAAAACACCAAGGACAGTTTATGCTGGAGAGGATGCGGAGAAAGGGGAATGCTTTTCCATTGCTGGTGGGAGTGCAAATTTGTACAGCCACTTTAGAAATCAGTTATGAAGGATTCTCCAGAAAATGGGAACTAGTCTACTTCAAGATCCAGCAATTACACTCTTAGGCATATACCCAAAGGATGCATATTCATACAACAAGGACATCTGTTCAACAATGTTCATAGCTGCATTATTTGTAATAGCCAGAACCTGGAAGTAACCTAGATAACCCTCAACTGAAGAATGGATACAGAAAATGTGATACATTTACACAATGGAGTACTACTCAGTGGAAAAAAAGATGGAATATTGAAATTTGTAGGCAAATGGATGGAACTAGAAGAAACCATTCTGAGTGAGGTAACCCAGTCACAGAAAGACAAACATGGTATGTACTCACTCATATATGGATATTAGACATAGAGCAAAGGATTACCAGCCTATACAATCTACAACTCCAGAGAAGCAAGGAAACAAGGAGGACCCTAAGAGAGGCATACATGGTCCCCTAGTGTAGCGGAAAAACAAAAGCCCATGAACAAATTGGGAGCATGGGGGGGGGAGGGAGGAGGGAGGTAGGAGAAAGAGGAGGGGAGAAGAGGAGGAGGGAGGAGAACACGAACGATCAGGAAGATTGAGTGGGGAGAGAAATAGAGGAGAACAAGAAAAGAGACACACCAATAGAGGGAGCTACTATAGGTTTAAAAATAAATCTGACTCTAGGGAATTGTATAGAGACCCACAATGATGATCCCAACTAGGAACCCAAGCAATAGTAGAGAGGCTACCTTATAAATGCCTTCCCCTATAATGAGAATGATGATTACCTTAAATGTCATCCTAGAGCCTTCATCCAGTAGCTGATGGAAGCAGAAGCAGAGATACACAGCTAAGCACTGAGCCAAACTCCTCAATCCAGCTTCAGAGAGGGAGGAGTGACCAACAAAGGGGTCAAGACTACACCAGGAAGACCTGCAGGAACAGCTGACCCGAGAAAGTGGGAACTCATGGACCCCAGTCTAACAGCTGGGGAACCAACGTAGGACCAAATTAGGCCCCCCAAACATGGGTGTCAGCTAGGAGAACTGTGCAGTCTATGGGGCCTCTGGCAGTGGAACCAGGCTGTATCCCAGTGCATGAGTAGATTTTGGGAGCCCATTTCCCATGGAGGGATGCTCTCTTAGCCTAGATACACAGGGGAGGGCCTGAGCCCTGCCCCAAGTGATTTGACAGATTTTGATGATCCCTCATGGAAGGCCTCATACTCCCTGGGGAGTGGATGGGGCATGGGATGGGAGAGAGAACTGGGATTGATATGTAAAATAAGATCATTTCTAATTTAAATAAAATTTATATATAAATATTTAATGTGTAGATTTGGAACATGTTATGTTTCACATATTGGAATATTTCAAGAACTGTGCAGTGAATTAGCTTTGTCTTGCTTCTTTTAGAACCTCGTGTTACTGTTAGTGAGAGAAATGGGTGTGGCTTGTGCTGATGTAAAGATGAAATCTCTTGAAGCTGAGTGTCCAACACAAAATGTGCCTGCAGTGGTATTCTTGGCTGATGATGATGAGGCTAAAGTAGTTAATAGTGGGTTATAAAAGTACAGTTCTGGGCCTGGAGAGCTGGCTCAGAGGTTACAAGCACCAGCAGCTCTTCTACAGATACTGAGTTCAATTCCCAGCAACCACATTGCAGCTCACAACCATCTATAATGAGATCTGGTGCCCTCTTCTGTCTTACAGGCATACATGCAGGCAGACCACTGTATAAAAAAGTACAGTTCTTGCTTCAAGCCAGCAGGCTAATTAAGTTCTTTTTTTTTTTTTTTTTTCCCCGAGACAGGGTTTCTCTGTATTGCTTTGGAGGTTGTCCTGGAACTTGCTCTGTAGACCAGGCTGACCTCGAACTCACATAGATCCACCTGCCTCTGCCTCCCAAGTGCTTGGGATTAAAGGCGTGCACCACAAACGCCTGGCTTTAAGTTCATTTTTTAAGGTAAAGATGAGATAAAGACTTAAATCAAATTATAGTATGGAAACTTACATTAATAGCTAATTTTTTTTCTAATAAGTACTATGATTAAAATTTTCCTTTGGGAATACTATGAAGTTGCCATCTGGTATGTGGATTCTTGAGAATGTTAAATGAAGTTCAGGTTTTCCTTTTTATGTAATGGGTTTCACTTGTCAAAAGTACCCAATGGCACCACAGAAGGTGGTTTAAGCCAGACATTAGCCACTTGTCATAGCCCAGAGTTGAAGGTCCCTGCTCCTCCCCTGGCTGATCTGCACTAATTCATTGGGTGCCTGAAAGTAAGATCTGTCCAGTCTTTTAATAGTTTTAAGTAATGATGGTTTATTGTTAGGAAATTTAATTAGTTGCATGCTGTTAAGTTCATTTTATCAATGTACTTCAGATTTTTGAATTAGATTATTATCTTGTTGAAAATTTTATCCTCAAGTTTCTTGTGAAACTACTAGATATGAAAATATTGTTTTCCCAGAGGAACGGTGAGATAGCTTAGAGGGTAAAGATTGTTGCCATGCAAGTCTGGCAGCCTGAGTTCAGTCCCTGGAGCCCACATGGGGAAAAAAGAGACCCAATTCCAGAAAGCTGTCCAAGCATCTTCACATATGTGTCCCGCCATAGACTCTCCAACACATGTGTCCATGTACTCAGTGTTGTAAAAAATAAAATAATGCAAAAAGAATTTTCTTGAGACTTATGAAATGTAGTCTTTGGAGTCAGAATTGAAATTGAATTCTGATTTTTACCCCCCTCCTTAGAAATTACTCAGTTACTTTGAACAAGTTATTAAATTTTTTGGAGACCGAGTTTCATTTATTTCAAAAATGAGCACATTATGCATACTTCATTATGCTGATATTTAGTACTCATAATGTTTTTGGCCATTTTCTATTTGTGTGTAATTTCTTAAATTTGTTTGAAAAATCACCTTTATTAAGCATTTGCTAGACCCTTTTACAATTTGCTTCATTCTTGTGTGTGTGTGAGCATGCGCATGAGTGTGCACAGCCCATGGCTAGAGTCAGTAGAGAACTCTCAGGAGTTGGTTTTCCCTGCTACCTCGCAACTAGTGCTCTTGCTGAGCCGTTTCTCCAGCCCCCATGTGAAAAGTTATAACATTACTGTGTGAGGATATGTCATTGTGATTAATTTCATAAGAAAGCTAAATGTCCAGTAGCTAGGCAGGAGAGAGAGGCAGGACTTCTGGGAAAAAGAGGGGAACTGGGGACGATTGTAAATGTGGAGGATAAGCCAATGAGACAGTGGGCAAGTCTGACAAACAGAATGAAAGGATGGTAAAAAGCCTTGGGACAAAATGTAGACTCATAGAAACAGGCTACTTTAAGTTATAAGAGCTACTGGGACAAGCCTGAGCCAAGGTCATGCTTTCATAATTAATGTTTTATCCGAGGTTGGTTAAAAATATGGTTACCACGGGGGTGGGGAGCCAGGGAAAGCCATAGGAAGAAAGTAGCCTCAGCTGAGGGGAAAACACAGATGACTAAATATGAGACAAATAAAACAAGCCAGATTATTTTACAAAAACAATAGAAAGAATTGGTAGCTAACTTTGCTTCAAAGAGTGTGCTCAGATTAGGTTTAGTCAAGTGTACTGAGCTGAAATGAAAAATGATTGTCTCTTATGTGATCTTTCTGTTTTGTCCATGCTTTTCCTGTGACTCAGATGCCTAGCTGATGTACACTTCCCCAGGTTATTACATACTTATTTATGCTTGCAATAAGGGGTATTCTACCTTTCACTCTAGCAGAGCTCAGGAAGTCTCATCTCAGTCAACTGTTTTGTTTTGAGATGGGGTCATGCATTATTCATGTTTGCATAAAGGTACCTAGCTCAAGCTGAGGTGTTCCAGAAATCAGGGTGGACAGGTTTTCCTCAGCTTCCCTCTTTGCTTTTTTGGGGGTGTTAGTTGAGTTGACTTCTTAGGTGTATAACTGTTTGTTTGGCTGGATACTATTCCCAGTATTTAGCATATTTTGTTCAATATAGACAGCTCTTTCAGTATTCTAAGTGTACGTGTGTGTGTGTGTGTGTATGTATGTAGTATGTGCTGATATTTGTTCTCACAGTTCTCTGGGATGTGTCATCTTTCAGTGAGTAGGTGTGATGTTCTGATGCTGTCTGGTGGTACACTTTGTTCTTGTAGCCTCAGTCTCTTCAATAACTGTTCTGTGCCCACTCTTGTGTGTCTGTGGTCTCTGATAGAATATTTAGAAGAATTCCTTTTCTTTTCCTTAAAATGTGTTGGCTGACCTTGTTATCTTTCTCTACAAATGTGAGTTAGTCATTTCATTCTACTTTGCGAGCCATTAAATAAGGTGAGTGTCTCTTTCTGGCAATAGGAAGAGGGTTTGATAAGGTAGTGATAGTTATTCCTATAAGCCAGATCTTAGCATTTGTTCTTTAAATACTTACATTTATTAGTTTTTCTATTTCCTAACATTACCCAGTTCAAAATCCCTCTGATAGCCACGTCTTTTTCTTTCTGGGAAGTCAGATATTTCAGAAACTACTTCCAGATGTGTCGATTGTGCTTAGGAAGTTTCTGAAGGAGAATAACTCTTCATCATCTTCTCCAGTTAAAGGAAGATTTGGAGCAGTCAATAAGTCAACTGCGGAGTCAGCGCTTACAGAGAAACTCAGGAGGGAGAAGCGCCTCCGTTACCAGCCTGAGTGCAAGTGATCTCGATGGTGGCGCTGGGGCAGGTAAACCCCTCGTATGTTCTAAAAGCCTCTTTTCCTTTTAAATTTCAAAAACATTTCTGAAGTACACACAATGCATTTAATCTTTAGAGACATACAGTATATACACACGATTATAGATCTTATAGGTTATATACTGCACATCCACAACATGCAGTTGTTGGACAACCTTTTTTTTTTCTTTAAAGAGTCTTTGATGGTCTGGGTTTGTTAGTTTTATTTCCCTCAGACTGTGTGGACCTGGAGCTTTTACTCGACAAAGCCTGGATTTTAATTGCTGCCCAAGCTTCAGAACAAATGCACAAATAAAATTTATGTTTTCTTTCTAATCTTTTCCTGGCTCAGTAGTTTTAGAAATGTCTGATTTCAATTATGCTGTAACACATGTCAAAAGCAGGTGATTGTTAGCCTTGGTTTTCAGATAGATGCCAATGATTGTGTTAAAAGTTATTAGACACTATGTTTCCTGTAATTAATCTCATATTTCCCTGTAGTGCTAGAATCACACAGAAACATCTGCAGTGATGGGAGTGATTTAGTTGGATGAACATTGGTACCTTGAGTTGTGAATACTGCTATTACTCATAATAGTGATTAAAGTTGGACATTATTTATTTTTTATGTAGTGTTTTTATTGATTGTTATACACTGTTTTGGCTTTAGATTAATTGATTTGACATTTGCAAGATTTGATCTTATTAGTGGGATGTTATATTTTAGGGAGGAATAAAGATTTTAATTATCTAGTAATTTTTATATAGGAGAATATGTGTTGTTGCTTTGCATGCTGCTAAAAGTTGGACCTTTTGGCATTCATGTTCTGTTTTCAGGCTAAGTTCATTTTATCCACTTTAAGAGCAATGTGGTTGTGATCTCTATGGCTCTGGTAACTTGGGAAGTCTAGGCTAAGAGTAACTGTGCATCTCCATGTCTGGTCTGCAGGTAGCAAGTGAAAGTTTACACTGTTCTTATGCAGTGTTCTAATGTCCCTTTCTTCTTCTTTGCATTGGAAAGAGACTCTCCGCTTTACACCTACCTCACCTCTGAAGGACTATGACCCACAGGGTATTAAACGAAACAGGTCCAGAACTGGTGTTCGGTTTGTTCGGGAGACAGATGACGCGGTCCAGGTACTTTGTAACATTGTGTAGTTTATCTGTCACACCCTCTATTTGTGTATAAATGACTGACACTTGAACTTTATGGGCATATCTTAGCTACGAATTTGATCATCAATAATTTTGCATTGATTTTTTCTTTTACGCCAAATATATTTTATATTCCATGGACAAATACTTTTTTATTCTTTAAGATTGAGAGGAGTACACAGTGCAGAGAAGTCCAATGCATCCTTCCTTCACTCCTCATCTTTAGCAACTGCTCCCACGTCTTACAATTCACAAATGTATTTTCAGTGTACGAATCTGTATCATCTATTTTGGATTTTGTTGTGGAGAATTATATTTCCAAGATTTCCAAAAAGAGAGTTCTCAAAAGAAAATAAAAAGAGATAGAGGTGGCTAAGAAATATTTTTAAAAGCTCAACAGCCTTAGCTGTAAGGGGAATTACAAATCAGAACTGCTTTGAGATTTTTGTCTTATCCCAGTCAGAATGGCTAGATTCAGTGCGGCACATGACAACAAAGTCACAATGTCCAGGAAGCTAGAAAGGGGCCACGTGGTAGTGGGTGGAGTTCAAGTGAGGGAGGGGGATAGAATGCAGGGGATATGAAGCGGGGGAGGGAAAGAGTGAAACAGAAAGGGTTAAATGTGGGTGTTGTGAGGGGTGGGTAGAAGAGAGTATGGGGAGGATAATTAATAGTGAAGACATTCGAAAATCCACATGGCAAACCACTGCTAGAGAAGCTTCCTAAAAATATGCATATCATGTATATTACATGTATGTGCGCACGTGTGCACACACACACACACACACCACAGAGTTAAAGGAAAGTTACCCTATAACAGGGTCAATGATTCTCCCAGATTCCATAGGCTATCAAATAAAGAATTCTAAGTGCCAGGTATAGGATACCTCTTTTTGAGTTGCTGGTCAGTGATGTCCCATATTATCCCACCCTCCCCAGCCCAGCATTACAGACAAGTACCATTGCTCTTGGTTATTCTTGTGTGTGGACATGGAGAGATAAAAACTGCTGTATTCACACTAGCCCAGAAATGGAGAGTTAGTACTCATTAGGAAACTCATCCTTACTGACTAGCTTCTATGTGCTATGAAGTTCTATATACAGTATCAGAGGAGAAAATTACTCAGCAGTCTTACCCAGCTGTGAAGCCTGCAAGCTGCCACAGCTACTGGGCTGGCAGAATGATCTAGTGGTGCATTAGTGGCACCAGTGTCTGGGGGTGATCAGTTGCGTTTAAGGCCTGCTCCCCAGGGTGGAAGGCATGTCCGGTACCATACACTGAGCCAAAAACACATGACTGCCTAAGTCATGCAGAAGGGAGCAATCTGATGCTATTAAGTGGACATACAAATCATGTGTCTCCCCTCCCCCGCCCAGGTCATACCCTTGCACCCATAGATTAGAGCATCCTCCCCCCCTCTTTTTTTTAGTAGGTGGTGACATACAGAGACCCACCGGTGGTCAGTGTGCAGATGATGAGACTGGAACCCTCAGCTCTAAATGGGATCTCTATATCATACCTTCTCTTGCCAAGGCTCAGGGATCATTATGGAAACAGTGGTGGAAAGATTGTCAGAGTCTGAGGTAGTAGACATCTGCAGCAACGTATTACTTGGCAGACATGACAGTCCTTTGTGAAGTCATAGCAGCTATTACTATATCTTAAAGAACTATGCAAGATCAAATCTCACGAGGAGGAAAGGCTCATAAGTTTCCACTATTGGTTATTGGCTTTTGAGAGATTTCTTCGTGAATGTGATCCCTGAGAAGCTACGCACACTCCAGTAGATAGTTCTACACCCCTGCCCATACAGTAAACTGTGTAAACTCAGTAGGGAAAAAACCAAAGCACTGGAGTTATACCTCAGGAACACTAGATTGAATGCCATGTATTCACCACCCAGGACAAGGCATAAACTGTTTCACACTCCTAAGCAGGCTCCTTCTTTCAAGAATGGGTATACCCTGTCCTGACTTTGAAACATCATCTCCTGGACCTGCCTGTCTTGCTGCCCTATTGGCCAACAATGTTTTATTCATCAACCAATAACAGAAACATATGTACAGAAGGACAACTCATCAGTTCTGTTCTGTGGGACTAAATTTAGCATTCTTGTTAGGAATAATGTGGCTCCATGTTGTCTTGTCCATGGTTGCTTATGTGTTGGCAATAGTGTCTTGGAATGTGATGTTGGCCAACTGCATGTGGGCTGATGTGTGGAAATTTATTGTAGTACAGTGTTTTAATTTGCTTTTGGTTAGTTCTGCACTCCAGTGTCAGGCTTGACGGCAAAGACAGAACTTGCAATTCTGAAATACTTGACATCTACAGGTCACACAATTGCTGTGCTTGGAATAGTGTGATGACCGTTGTTAGGTTTACCTGTGAAAGATGTGTCTTAATGAGAAGTATTTATTGATGATATTGAATTTGGTTCTTTTTGTGGAAGGGAGTTTTTACTTTGAGCAGTTTTTTTTTTTGAAGAACCGTGCTAAGTTTTGAATATGCTAAGAACTGTGCTACGTTCTGAATGTGCTAAGTTTTGAATGTGCTTTGCTTTCTTGCTTTCATAGCTTCATGCTTTTCATCAGTCCCTCCGAGACCTCAGCAGTGAACAAGTTCGGCTTGGAAATGATTTCAACAGGGAGCTTTCCAGAAGAAGCCGGTAAAATGGGCACAGGTTTTTTTCCTGGGAGGCATGAGTCACCAAAAGAATAAATTCATTGCTATAACTGACATGCTTATGTAGATTAAGAAATGATGCTGTGCTTTTATATGAGTATTTTAAGATTTATTTTTGTGTGTTTATATGTTTATATGCACATGTACATGTGTGTTCCTGTGTGTGCAGATGTGTATGCTTGTGTGTGTGTGCAAATGGAGGCTATAGGTCAAACTTGGGTATTCTTAGTAGCCATCAGACTTATTTATTTATTTATTTTTTGGTTTTATGAGACAGGGTTTCTCTGTATTGGTTTTGGAGGCTGTCAGTCCAGCCCGGCCTCGAACTCACAGAGATCCGCCTACCTCTGCCTTCCAAGTGCTGGGATTAAAGGCGTGCGCCACCACTGCCCGGCTCAGACTTAATTTTTTTAAAGACTTATTTTTATCTGTTTGTATGTGTGTATGCACCTCTGTGTGTGTGTGTGTGTGTGTGTGTGTGTGTGTGTGTGTGTGTGTGTGTGTGTGTGTGTGTGTGTGTGTGGTGAGGCAGGGAAGGTATCTGGAGACCAGAAGAAGCGTCTGATCTGCCAGAGCTGGAGTTGAAGGCTCTTGTGTGTGGCCTGGTCTTCTGCAAGAGCAGCAGATGCTCTTACCCACTGGACCTTCTCTTCATCTGTGTACCATGTATTTTGTGATAGAGTCTCTCACTGGGACCAGCTCACTGAATAGGATGCTTGGCTAGTAAGTTCTAGGGGTTTTCCTATTATTACCTACCAAACACGTGAATGACAAGCACATGTTACTACACCCAGCTTTTTACATGTGTGCTAGAGAGTGAACACAGTTCCTCAATGTTGTGGAACTAACATTTTAGCAACTGAGCTATGTCCCCAGTCTCTAGTATTAATAACACAATTCAAAGCCCTTTAAATTTAGAGTTTATCATGACTCATTGCTTTTTGCTGCAGTAAGTTCAAACTCTAGCTGCAAAACATATCAAGCATAGTCTATGCAACTTACCGAATTTTAGAAGAAGAAGGCAGGAAAGTTAGTAGTCGGAAAGCAGTAATTTTCAGATTCTAAAAGTGCTTTTACTTGATAGAGTGCTGATATTGTGGTGAGATGTATTGTGAGAGATATTAGCAAAGGAGATGTACTTACATATTTCAGGGAGAGAGAGAGGAGACAAACAAAGAGGTAAAGACTGACTAGTTGGTTAGCAGTTCAGGGAGAAAAATAGAGCATGCAAGTTGTCTGTGTCTAAATGACACAAGTCATTTAGAATCTGATACCTCAGTTTACTTACCACCTTTCAAAGACTGGTTAAACAGTCTGATTTTTTGTTTTTGCTGGTTTTAGAGCGGTCCCAAAAGCTTTCACCAAATATAAAAAATCCCCAGTCTGTTTCATTTTTTCATTTTCTTCATCAACAGTAACAAGCACTTTATTTTGAAGGTCATTTTTTTTTTTTTAAGAAACTAAGGTTTCTATATTTTCTTAAGAGTTAGATTCTAGAGTTGTGGAGATGGTTCAATGCCTGATGACCTGAGTTCTATCCTGAGGACCTACATGGTGAAAGGAGAGAACCAACTCTTACAAGTTGTCCTCTGACATGCATGTGTTTCCATCCCTAATAAATAAATAAGAAGAAGTAAAGTCCAAATACATCAGAGGTCAGGGAATGAGAAAAGTCAGTTGAAATTTGCATTCCATGTTTATTTGCATATTCCAGCTAAATCCTGTCACACACCAATTCTGCATAGCTTCAGTGAGTTCAAACTCTAGCTGTCTGCTATATCAGCTATAATCTGTACAACTTCCCCGACTTTAGAAGAGGAGGACAGGAAAGTTAGAGATAAAATCAGGACTTTGCCATCATTAGTGTTATTAGTACTATTAATACCAAACACTATTTAGCCTAAGCTGACAGTTTTGCAACAACTGACATAGTCATTGTTTTCTTCATTTAATGGATGAGATGAAATCGGTCTACTCTCTGGAGATGGAAATGAAAATGTAGAGGGTCGGAATTGAAATCTGAGCAGTAAGACCCGAGCCTCTGCCCGTGACCACACACCACACTGTGGTTCAGTCACTTAACATGTAGGGATGTGGATCCAGCATTTATATTATTGAATTGTGAGCTTAGTTATTGGGAAGATAAAGGACTTAAGGTTTATATTTCCTTTTTCTCATATTGTTTTATTTAACTTTTTACACATGTCACTCTTAGTTCCCTCTCCCTCCCCTCCTCCCCCACCCCCAATCCTCCCAACCCCTCATCCCCACTCCTTCCCTCCTCCGCTCCCCAGGGAGGGCAAGGGCTTCCATGAGGGATTTTCACAGTCTGTCACATCATCCCAGGTAGGGCCTAGGTCCTCCCCCATGTGTCCAGGCTGAGAGAGCATCCCTCCATGTGTGATCAGATTAACAGAGAGCATGTTTAAATCTGGAATGATTTCACTATACAGATTTTATACATTTGGAGCAAGGGAGTAAATGGCGCACTGGGCACTTGATTTTGAGGGGATACTGTTGTGGAGGTGGATCTTGGAGAAGATGCACAGATGTGTTGGTTGATTGGTTATGTGGTCCCCAGTAAGTGCAATGTTGTACTGTGGCTCTTCTGACCTTGAAACTGTACCATGTGGGAAGTGCTTGTATTTGGAGGCATGGGCGAGGCAGAGAAACCATTTACCCTCAAGCAGGAATCATATTTATTTATTTGTGAGATGAGATGATATTGAATTGTTGAGGAGTAAAATTGAAGACTTTGCCTGTACTGCTAATTATATTTATGCTTCTAAAACTGCTGGATAGGAAATAATTTGATTCAGAAGTGTTGGTATTCTCATTTAATTAATTAATTTATTTTTTTATGAGACAGTAGCTTTGTCTGTCCTGGAACTTATTATGTAGACTAGGCTGGCCTTGAACTCACAGAGACCCACCTGCCTCTGTCTCCCAAGTGCTGGAGTTCAAGGTGTGCCCCATCGCATCTGGCTTAATTTCTTGTTTTATGAAAACACAGAGAAGTGAGCTTTAAACTGCACACCATATGGAAAACTGACTTGGAAGTCTGTTGTATTAGTATATCAGAACTGACAGTGGCTTGACCAGAGAGATGACAGTAGAGTGAGGGACAGAGGTCTGTTTCAAAACACATTATTGGAGGTCAAAGAGTCAGGATTTGGTAGTGGAGTGTATATGAAGGATGTATGTCAAGGATAACTCACAGACTTCTACTTGAGGAACTATAATAAATAACAATTCTGCTTTATGATATAAAAAAGATTGGTTGAGAGAGTTGAGGGATAGAAATCAAGGGACTTTCTTGGATATGTTGGATTTGATATGCCTGTGAGACATTCAAGAAGAAATGTAAAATAGTCAATCCTTAACTCTAAAAAAAAAGCCTAGATTTATCTATATCTGTATCTGTATATCTATATGAGTTTCAAGAGTGCTTGGCATAGAAAAGTGCTATGGTAATGGATGTCGTAAAGAGAAAAAGTATGGCGAGAGCATCAAGGACAGAGCTGAGTACCAAAGAGGTCAGATATTTAGGGGTCTTGTCTGTGATGCAGACCTGACTTGACGGTCAGGTGATGAGAATTGAGAAACCCAGGAGACAATGAGAAGCTCCAAATCAAGAGGGAGGTAAAAAGAACACATTTTCAGAGGTTCACAGCTCTGAAAACCTAGCTCTTAAGATACTTCTTTCTGAAAAATCAAATATAAATTATACAAACAATAGAATTATAATTAAGAGGAAGATACAAATTAGAAGAAGTTGTGGATACTGTGAAACCGAGTAGTCTTCTCAGATTAACAAGTTATTACAGCAATGTCAGGTGTGCTGGGCTAAAGTTACAGAGACAGTTGCTTTCCGGTATACCAGCAATTAGTACTTATAAGGCTAAATGAAGCAAAAAGAAGACATAGCAATGCTGTCCTAAGAATTCAGTGAAAATAACTCCAAAATGACAGCTGCCCAGCAAGCTTGCAGATTCAGCTAAGTTAGAATAAGTAAGTGTTCTTTCAGAAGAATGTTGCCAAGGGGAAGGGTCTAGATTATGTGGAGATGGATGATTCATGCAGAAAGGGGGTTATCAATGGAAATGATGTGTACAACCAAGTGGTGATGAGAATTAAAAGCCCCAGAGTGACAGTGTGAGGCTGATTGAAATGTGTGTGCTGGCAGGTGAGTACAAGAGCCTCCGTCTATTAAGAGTGAGGGACACTCTGCATAACATGCACTCCGTAAAACCACACAGGTATCTGGTAGAAGGGCTCACAAGAGCAATAAATATTCCCAGTATCGCTGAGGAGTTAGTGAACTAGATACTTCAAAACAAGGAGCCAATGGAAAGTACTTGATTGAAATGATGAAGATAATGAGCCAAAGGATCACAAATAGAGAAGGTGTTTGGATGCTAGTGGGGAGTGCATCCAAAGGAAGTCGAGATGGGGGAAGACCTTTTCTTGCAAGTCTTGTTGGACTACATGTGTGCTGCTGTCACTAATTTGATGCCCTAATAAGGATGGAGTTTGGCTATCTCAAACAGGTTATGAGATGAGCTTTATTTTTCCCATTTTATTTTAGAACTCTTTTTTTTTTTGTTTCTTCCTAATTTGAAACCGAGGGCTGCTGGAGGAACTTAGTGGGGTGGTGGTGCTCAAAGTTGGGGCCCCGGATCCACAGCTTCAGCATTATACAGGAATTTGCAGAAATCAAGCCCTATGATTTACTGATTTCTGAAACGTGGGTAGGGCCCCTTTGGCATGTTTTAACATGCCCTCCAGGAGAAATCCAGCTGAGAATTGTGGAATAACAATTAGTGTGAGGGGTGGGGGTTTAGCTCAGTAGTAAAGCACTTAGGAAGTACAAGCCCCTGGGTTTGGTTCCCAGCTAAAACAATGATAACATCAACAAGAACCACCATACCTAAAAGAAAAGTTAGCTTGAAACCTGTTTCTTTCTTTGCTTAGGTCGGATGCTGAAACGAAAAGGGTTTTGGAAGAATTGACTGAAAAGATTAATGAAGCCCAGAAACAAGATGTGGTGAGGATTCTTTCTTTATAAAGCTTTATAAAGAGTGGTGGTGCATACTTGCAATTCCAGCACTTAGGAAGCCAAGGCAGAGGGTCACAGGTTTGAAGCCAGCTGGGGTAAAGTAGATAGATGGTTCTAGACTAGGTTTGATGCAAAGTAAGATACTGTTGCCCCCCCCTCATAAAAAATTCAAAAAACAAAACCCAACTCCTGAACCAAAGTTTATTTCCACTTGTAGATAATTGGGAGCATGGCGACCACTGGTTAGACTCTAATGATGCTTAGTAGAGTAACTTTTTGTCAAAATGTGTGTTCCTGTACCTATTATAAAATGTTCATGTATTTAATGAATTTAAGTTTGAAATCTCATAATAGTAATAGATAATGGGTAGAATTAATTTCTAAATTTTGAAATTGTGAATGTTTTATGCATATTTGAAAGGTGTTTTAAAGCTATGATCAGTGGTTCCTCTCCAGTTTTTATTAAGTATTTGAGAAGTACAGGCTGCTTGGTTTGGTGGCTGTACAACACTCACCGTTAGATAGCTATCTCCATGACTCTGTCGTCATAGTGACTGTGCGGCATCCTTGTTTGCTGTGACGATTAATCATCATTGTCCACGTGACTGGATGTAGAAGTGCCCAAAGATTGTGAGGCACACACTGGTGAGCTTGTGAGGGTTGATCCGGGGAGGATTAACTGAGGGAGAGACCTTCCCTGAATGTGGAGACACCATGTAATAGGCTGGGGCCTAGACCAAATGAAAGGGGAGAAAGGAGAGAGCCAGCCAAATTCCAGCTCTCTCCTCTCTCTGTTTCTTGACTGTCATGATGTGAGCTGCTCCCTGCAACCCTCTTCCATGCTCTACTGAACCTTCTGAAAGGGGGAAATCCTCCTACCGTAAACTGCCCTGTCAGGTCTCTGGTAACAGTGACAAGAAACATAATAAATATGTCACTTACTGAATATGGAGAAATTTTAAAATTTCCTAATGACCAAGTTTTATTGTTCATGTATTTATTTTTATCAAATCTTTATCCTTGAGTCTAGTCCAACCTGTGCAACATATTGAGACCCAGTTTCAAAACATCAGATAAAACAAATACGTTTTTTTTTATTTACTCTCATTCTGGTTTTCTTTTTTCTTTTCTTCTTTTTTTTTTTGAGAAAAATATTAATAGAAAACTTCACTAAAGTGTTAACTAACTTGTCAACTCCAAGAGCAGTTTTTTTTTTTGAAGATAGGGTTTCTCTGTGTCTTTGGAGGCTGTCCTGAAACTAGCTCTTGTAGACCAGCTGGTCTTGAACTCTGCCTGCCTCTGCCTCCTGAGTGCTGGGATCAAAGGTGTGCGCCACCAGCTACCTGCTCCAAGAGCAATTTTTTCACTTCCCACATTTTGTTTTTCCAAGAGAAGTCAATGGAATTTTTTTCTCCTAGGATATTTGATTCAAATGTAACTTTCTAGTTTATGCAGAATATGTTTCTTCAGTGAATTGTGTTTGTAGTTCCCCACAGACAGATTGAGTTCATCTTGGAGTTTGAATGTAGTAGCTGCGCGTGTCAAGAGATGGATGTCCTCTATCTTCAAAGAGATGTCTCAGTGGCTGCTCTAACATAATGTGCCCATTTCAAAAACTATTAATGCTATTAATTTCTTTGGGAAGAGCCATAGGAAAATGAAGGCTTAATATTCATCTTCTGTGGAAGTAAACAGATTCTTACCATTAAGAGTGGGTATCTGAGCAGGATGGGGGCTGCTTACATTTTCACATGAAGTCCTAGATTTTTTTTCAAGTGTATAAATTTCACCATCAGTTTAAATTGTATCGATTTAAATGATTTAAGCATCAAGTACTTCAATCATCTGTCATTTGGGGGTTGGCGAGATGGCTCAGTGAGTATACACCCTTGCCATGCAAGCTTGAGTTCCATCGTCCGAGCCATCGGACAGAGAGGACAAGCTCTGGAAGGTTGCTTTCTGACCTCCACAGGTGCACCAGGGTGTGCCCATGTACACACATGCACACACACACACACACACACACACACACACACACACACACACACACACACCCCAATAATGTACTGCTAATGCTAGTAATAAATGAACTCTTAAAAAGAGGTCTCTTTCTGGTTTGAATATACTGACTTTGTAGTTAACTGAATAGTTATGTGGCAAGAAAATCTAAGTCGTCTGATTGACACACTAAATGTGAGCTGAGTGTAGAAATTTATAACGTGGCTTTAACACCGTCTTTAACTTAACTAAATAATGATCTAGTTCTTTTTATGAATTCTAAAATAAAACCTGTCACTTGATAGTACTTCTGAAGTTTTGCCATGTTCCTTAAGGTTTTTAAAAATTATAGTTAAGATGAACATCTAGAAAAGTTCATGTACCATTGTGTATTTTGATGAATTCCCACAGATAAGAATCCTTCTTTTTGCACCCGTATCTGCATATGGCAATTTGCAGTATCCTTAGGAAGCTCCTTATTGTCGTTCCCCATCCTCTGGGATCACTGCTGTTTGGGCTTTTTCATGCTGTAAGGCTTTTTTTTTTTTAGATTTATTATATATTGTGCCCCTGTGTTTTTCCTGTATATACTCTGTTTGAGGCTGTTGGATCCTCTGGAACTGGAGTTACAGACGTTTTTCAGCTGCCATGTGGTGCTGGGAATTGAACCCAGGTCCGCTGGAAGAACAACCAGTGATCTTAACTGCTGAGCCATCTCTCTAGCCCCCTCATGCCATAAGTTAATACTTCCCATTCCTCACTCTAGTCTAAGTGCGATACACAGAGGTTGCTTTGTCGAATCTGAGTCCTTTTGCTATTGTGCTGGTTATGGGCATTGCTTCCGGATCTTGCACTCTTTACCTGTTTCAGCACTGCATGGATGTTTTGTAACATATTTTAACATGCCATGATAAACATTTGAGTTATTTCAGTTTGGGCTGGTATGGATAAATGCAGCTTTCACAGCTGTGGTTACTTTCTTGTGCCTGCATTTCCGCTGGTACATACATAACGTGGAGTGTATCCATTAGGTGCTTTCTAGTTTAGCAGACACCAGTAAAGAGATTTCTGAGCTGGATGCGCTAACTCACCTCCATGGACAGTCTGGGAATTTGTGTGGCTCTTCAAGCTTCCTGGCACTCCTCAGCTCGGTTTTTTAACTAGGCATTATGACAGGAGTCATGTTGTCTCACTATGGGTGGCTTTTGCATTTTCATGATTGCTAATGATTTCCTTTTTGAATGTTCGTGGGCTGTTGGAGACTCTCGTTTATGAAATGCCAGATTGTATTTTTTGCTCAATTTTCTCTCAAGTTCAGCTTGTCTTTATTATTTTATGGGTCTCTTACTGAACCCAGAGTTCACTGGTTTTTGGTGGTGTTGGCAGCCATTAAGCCCCAGCTGACCTCTTGTCTTTCTTTTTGTTTTAGAACTTCTTTGTGGAGTTCACATCATGAATTCTGATCCCACTTATCTCTCCTTCTCTTTACATCAGCCCTCTGCTCTTGCAAACTCTACCCCCACAAAAATTTAAAAGCAAAATCAAAAACCAACCAAAACAAAGAAACAAAACAAAACAGCAAACAAATGAAATAACAAAAGAGAAGACTCTTGTCGTGGAAGCTGCAGTGTGGCCCATTGAGTCACACAGTTGACCCTTTAGTCCATTCATCTTTACTTGCAGTGTTCCTTGTATTGGTCTGGCTCGCTGCTATGTTCTTCTACACCACTGATAATGGGCTCTTACTGGAGCTCCTCTTAGATACCCTGTTGTTGTTCTGTGTTGTGGGTGTCCTGCTGTTTTGGATCTGTAGGTTTGTACCCTTCACCTGCTCCAAAAGTTCACAGGTGAGGTTGATATCGGAGTAGGCCGATTCATGGCCCTGGTTCTGGACCTGAGTGGTAGCTGGGTTGGCCAGCCTGCCAGCTTTCCTCACTGTCATCACCCAGGCGAGCTCTCTAGCACTGCCTGCTAGCTTGCCCAATGCAGCCTGCAGCAAGGAACGGGGCCAGTTCTCCTGCTGTTGGCCCCTCAGACCTGGGTCACCATGGTGTTGTGAATGTGGGTGTCTTCTTGTCTTTTTCCCCCAGGACCACACCTGACATTTTGTGTGGATTTTGTGGAATTAGAACTCAAGTCCCCATGCTTGATTCTGTAGTAAGTGCTCTTTCTCACTGACCTATCTCCCCAGTTCCTACAAACAGGTTGTACTCCACATTCAGATGTCTCCAGTATTCTGCTGAGCTTCTCATACCTGAGCAAACCATGGTCATGTCCACTTACACCAGCATGCTGTTCTTTCTGAAAGTGTTGCATAGTTGTTGCTCTGAATTTGGTATTTGTTAATGTTAGCTTTGGAAGTGCACACTACTTTTCTTAAGTTTTACTATTTTCCATGTATTGAGATACTTAAAGTGCTCAGTTATCATTTCGTTTGAATTATATACATAGAGGAGTAAAATTGCCAAATACCGCCTTCCATATGTTTTAGGGTTTTACTGTGTACTCAAAGTGTAAGGGTCCACCAAGAAACAACAGTGACTTGAAGTTCACTGAAGTAAGTCCCTATCTCTTGTATCATCATTGTCATGCATCAGGGAATTACTCCAGGTTAGATATATAGCTGTTGATAAATGCTATTTCATATATTTACATATATACATGTATAAATATGTATATGCACACACATGTATGTGTATATATACATATAAAGCAACAACAGCAATATATGTATGTATACATATAAAACAAAACCAATTACCCAGCCATCCAGTGTGCCCACCCAGCCATCCAATGTGTCCCTCCCCATTAAGGCGGAGGCTTTCTATTAATCCAGAATATTTGAGATGTCTGATTGTGTACTTTGTTGAATTGTACAAGTTTTTGTCAATTTATATTACAGTCGTACTTCTCTGCACTGTGCTGTTGAGTGTGGTTTTCTGCTAAGCAAAGCTTGAATAAAGGCTTCTCCAGCTTCTCTTGGTATGCAGTCCTGATTCAAACCAGCAATCTTCATCAAAGCCTGAAACAATATTGTTGAATTTTAGCAGGCCTTCTGAAGGCCACATGATGTTTGCACAAAGCTTAATTTAGATTGTGTGACTCACTTATTCCAGTCAATGTCAACATTTACAACTTAGGACTGGGTGACATATTGTGCTGTAGCTGTGAATTCAGGATAGCATGCTGTCAGAGTAGATGCAGTTTTGTTGTGAGCACGTTAAACTTCACGGACTCTGCAGCTGTTCTCCTCTCTAGAGTTAAGTTTAAATAGAATTACAGGTCACTGTGGGGAATTTAAGTACTGAATACATATATAAGAGAAGATAAACGGCAGCCGCTGCCTCCCACCAGCCTCACTTTCGGTTGGTGCTCATTGTTAATCACATTTATTGTACATTATTCTGAGGCTGCAATTGTTTATCATGCATTTTCCTAGTAAAGAAAATATATCTTAGAAGTTTATGGAACACGTTTTTCTTTGAGAGACAAAAAGTATTGGTTACTGTCACACATGCCAAAACATGACTTGTTCATTCTTTATGAATCAGTTTTTTTGTTGTTGTTTGATTCAAATTGTGCATTGGAAAGGGATAGTTATTATTGATAACATGAATTATGGTGATTGTTTTCTGTTAACACTTAATTGTGATAATCTAAGTTGCGTAGGGGAAATTTCAGTTCATTACTTGTATGTATTTCACCCCATTGAGTGTGGTTGGAGTACATATTCTGATTATTTATGGAGAAAATTTCAACTTACTTTATTTTCTATAGTTGGGTCCCTATTAAAACCAAAACTGTAAACATAGATCCAGCTCTTTCTGACAGCGGGGGTTGTTAGTGGAATTCCAAGAATTTAGTCTGTATTGCATGTAGTCAGTCAAACATGGGTGTTGCATAGATCACAACAATAGGACAAATAACAGACTATTTAAATGGAGTTTTCACTTTGCTGCAGTGATGAACACTATGACCAAAAGCCATTTAGGGAAAGGATTTCTTTTGACTTCCAGGTCATAGTTCATCATTGAGGGAAGTCAGAGCAGGAATAGAACAGACTTATAAGCAGAAATCTTGGAGGAATGGTTCATTCCCAGGCTCCCTCTTAGCTAGCTTTTTTATGTAGCTCAGGAATGTACTGCTCACAGTGGGATGGGCCGTCTTGCATCAGTAACCAATACTATACCCCGCAGGCCAATCTGATCTAGGACATTCCTCAACAGAGCCTTTCCTCTCCCATGACATGAGGCTGTGTCAAGTTGACCATTCAAACCCTTCCCTTCTGTTTTAGACTTTTGAGGCCCATGCTGGCCTCAAACTCCCCGAGTAGCCCAGTTGTTCTTGAATTCATTATTCCCCTACTTATTTCCTAAGCATGCACTACCAAACCTTGCTTTATCTGTCTTTTTAAATGACAAGTTTACTGAGCTATAATTTATCATCAACTTATTCCACTCTGATGGGTAATTTAGTGCTTTGTAATAAATGTACTGAGCTGTGCAAGTGTCCCACACTTTAATTTAGAACATTACTATCACCTTAGCAAGGTCCCCCATTCGGTCTTACAAAGATCTCTCTCTCTCTCTCTCTCTCTCTCTCTCTCTCTCTCTCTCTCTCTCTCTCTTTCTCTGTCTCTCTCTCTCTCTGTCTCTCTCTCTGTCTCTCTCTCTTTTTCTCTCTCTGTATGTGTGTGTACACCAAAGTAGTGGTTCTTAATTTTTGTAATTCTGTGACCCTTTAATACAGTTCCTCATGTTGTGGTGACTCCCAACCATAAAAATCATTTTAGTTGTTCCTTTGTAGCTGTAATCTTGTACTGATATAAATCGTAATATAAATATCTGTGTTTTCTGATGGTGTTAAGAAAATCCTGTGAAAGAGTCATTTGACCCCAAGGAGGTTTCGACCCACAGATTGAGGAACGTTGATGTAGGAGGTCACAGGACAACTTCAGGTGTTGGTCGTCCTTCTGCCTTGTTTGGTGCAGGGTCTCTTGTTGAGTGCTGTGTCTGTCAGGTTAGCTGGCCCATGAGCTTCTGGGGATTCTTCTGTCCCCACATCATCTTGCTGTAGGAGATCTAGGATCACACATGTCTGTCACTGTATGCCTGTCACTCTGTAGATCTAGGATCACATGTGCTTGTCACTCTGCAGATCCAGGATCTCAAATGCCTGTCATTCTGCAGATCTAGTATTGTATATATCTGTCGCTCTGTAGATCTAGGATCACATGTGTTTGTCACTCTGCAGATCCAGGATCTCACATGCCTGTCACTCTGCAGATCCAGGGTCTCACATGCCTGTCACTCTGCAGATCCAGGATCACACATGCCTGCCACTCTGCAGATCCAGGATCTCACATGCCTGTCACTCTGCAGATCCAGGATCACACATGTTTGTCACTCTGCAGATCCAGGATCACACATGTCTGTCACTCTGCAGATCTAGGATTGTATATATCTGTCTCTCTGCAGATCTAGGATCACACATGTCTGTCACTCTGTTGCTTCATGTGGGTTTTGGTCATCCGAGTTCAGGCTCTCATGATTTCATGGCAAGCACCATAACTACTGAGCCATCTCTCTAGCCCCATGAGCAGACCATTCTTGACTTTTCATGAAATACAGAACTAGTGAAAAATGTTTAGTAACAGGGCTTTGTTTATTCTTTTAAATGAATGGGAAATGTCTTCTGTTCCCCAGACACATACATTGCCAGTGTACATTACTTTATGGAGCTATTACTGACATATATAAAATCTGTTTGAATTTGTACAACATTTTACTAAGGAAGATCTTGTGTCAAAGAGACGAATTCTTTCATGTTTGTTTTTGAGCCCTAATTAAACATTTTTCAGTTTGCCTTTAGTGTTTAATCTTTACAACTTTTTATTTTTAGTAAATCACAGTTGAAAACCCTGGCAAGCTCATGCAAAATGCTTAGGGTGATGTACTGCACACTCACAGCAGGGCCTTCCAGACTGTCACACTCATGGATAAAAGAGATAGAAAGAATGAAAGTGATAGGACAGTTGAATTGGGTAGTAAAGACAATTGTTGGCATAGTGGCATTTCACTTTGCATCACCAGAGGGCGCTCTTTTCTAGTTTGTGTATTTGAATGCTGAGCATTTTACCGTGCTGTAGTTTGAAAAATTTGAACCTTCTTGGTGCGGTCTAGGATTCCAGTTGGTGGGATGTAGCTCTGGATATTTTGAAAACTGATGATTGCTTTGTTTTGTAACCTTAAATTAACTTTTTGGCCAGGTGTCCTAAATGGTGTCATTAGAAAGGTTTCTATTTGCAAGTCAATGCTTTAGGCACAGTGTTTCTGGGTTTCATCTTCTGCTCGCTCCCTAATGCCACTGTTTCTCTGTTCATATTGAGGTTTCAGATCGAGTGGAGCGGCGACTTCAGGAAATAGAGAGGGAGATGCGCACAGAAAGAGAGCTGGTGGAAAGACGCCAGGATCAGTTGGGACGCATATCCTTGAAGCTTCAGGAGGTTTGTGACAAGTACTTTCTTGGGATTTGGGCTATTATTTAGTCGTAGCTAAAATGGTTGTGGTTCTGGGTGGGGTGTAGTTCAGTTGGCAGAGTGCCACATCAGATGGGTGTGCTGTTGCCCACCTGCAGTCCCCGCCCTTGGGAGGTGGAGTCAGGAGAATAACAAGTAGTCACAATTCCAGAGGTTGCAGATGGCATTGCACGTAATTCATCCCATAAGTATAGCATCAGTTACAGTTCAGAGTTCAGAGCAAGACTTCCTATTGTTTGTGTGCCCTTAGCAAGGTTTTTTTTTTTTTTAAACACTTCGTGGTTCCAGTTTCCTCCATAGAAAACGGGAATAATAATTTCTGCCTAATCGCATGGGCGAGAGGGTAAATGAGTTAATGCTGGTGAAGCACTTCGCACTGGAGTGAGCTCAGCAGTGAGAGCTGAAAGTGTAATTATGCTGGTTGTTCTGGGGGTATGGACCAGACACCAGGGAGCACCACACTGTGCCTCATTTTGTACATAAAGTGTTATTGGGCCCCAACCCTTCCTGCGCATTACAGTCCCATCCTTGGACACTTGTGTGACACAGTGGCAGATCTGAGTTGTAGTGACAGGCAATGTCCTGCTCGTGACATCGGCAGTCTAGACTTTACAGAAGTTTGCCCATCCATGAATTTGTTTGTCATCAAACCGATTCAGAAGCCAAATGTTACTCTTTACATGTTCATTCCTTTTTATATTGAAATTTTAGATTTATAATGTTAAAAATTAGGACAAAGAATTTTTGTGTAATTGGGTCTCCTCAGTATTCACGTCTTACCAGCCTGACTTTATCATCTTTTCTTGTACACCCGAAGTGCACAGTGTTTTATTTTGAACTAGTTTTGCGAAGGCTGCGGGTCTCATATTGTCTCCGGGTCTTTGCTGCGGTGATGAAGCACCATGACCATAAGCCACCTGGGGAGACAAGGATTTGTTTCAGCTTACGGTTCTGCATCTCCTCCATCACGGAAGGACGCCAGGGCAGGAAGCTGGAGCCAGGAGCTGATGGAGAGGCCATGGAGAAGTGATACTCACTGTCTTGCCCCTCACGGTAGCTTAGCCTGTTTCTTACAGCCCAGGACCACCGGCCCAGGGCGGGCACCGTTTGTGATAAGCTGGGCCCTCTCGCACCATCCATCAAGAAAATGCACTGCAGACTTGCCCACAGGCAACTCTTACGGAGGCATTTTTAAAACCGAGAGTCCTTCTTCCCCAGTAGCTCTTAACTTGTGTCAGGTTGACAAAAGCCAGCCAGGACACATGTAAATATATTTACATTAAAAGGGCCTTTATATGTAGTTTATATTGTTTAGGCCCAAGGAATGCTGCAAACACAGTTTGAAGCAAAATGGGAAGTGACATCTTTCTAGAGACAGGGTTAGACACGCTAATGCAGTAACTAAAGATGTCTCCTTCCTCTGGCAGCAGGGCTGATTCATTCCTGACTCCTAAGCCACCATTCACAGGTACAGCCAAAACAGCAGGGTATAAGCCACACAGAACAAAATGAACTCGTTACCTCGTTTACGGTTCAGGCTTTGCAATTGGAGTCACCTGTACTCAAAGATACACTTACAGACTGTCAGAAGGGGTCATTGCCATTGGGAAGTTGCAGCCATTTACACCTGCATTTCATGTGCCATGCTCACAGCGAGGTGCTTAGCACCATACAGTGCTCTGACCAAACTGTAGGTCTCATGCTGAGTTTTGCTAGTCATGTTCTTCCTGGGTGCAGTGTGAAAACTCAGGCTGCATAGCGTTTGTTGATTTCTGCAACAGTGTTTTACTTCACATCTGTGGTGACTTTGTAGGATATGTTATAGGGTGCCTTTGATTTTGGGGTTTTCGGATTCTTGGCAGGGAACCCAGAAAACTAGTATTATGTCCTTTTCAGAACACCAGATCAGAAGTCACGGGCTAGTGACAGCTGAACACTTGACCGTGGGGTTGCCTGCCAGGGGGCAATACTATAGTGCTACTATTATTCATTCTAATTGTTTGTTTTATGAGGAGACTTGAAAAAAATCCTGTCTTTCAAATCATATTTTACCCACTAATGTGGGTTGATGTTGTTGATTTTCCTTGAAGCAATTATAACTGTAGGTTATAAACGTGGGACCTCTGTCATTGATTCCTTCTGTATGTGTGGGATCCTGTGGCCAGGATGATTTTCTTTACCTCTCGTCTGTCTGTTCCTTTTGTACATTGGTCCATCTTAGACGAGATTCTTATTTCATTAGTTTGGTTCTGTTTCTTCCCTGCCATTGGAAATTATTTTATTGAAGTTCCTTTGTCAGTATTTAATATATCTATGAAGTATAAAAATGAGAAAAACAAAAGCAAAGAATCAAAACAAATCAGGATTTTTATGTGTTTTTAAAATACTGTTTCCTAAAAATTTCAGATATGTGGGGGTATAGATTGCTGACCTTTATCAATTGTCAACTTTTTTGAAATATAAGTAGACACTGCCAGTTCAAACCAGGAAAAAAGATTCTACCCTGAAAGTGTAGTGTCAGCTGAAAGCAAACATTTGCCTTGCCTAAAAAAAAAAATTGCATTTTTTCTCCATTATGCAAAAGGAGGCATGCCCCTGTACCTGGTAATTACTCAGAGGATGCTTTGATAAATAATTAGATGGAGCACATGGGTAGCTCCCTACCCGAATTCAATCTTGATTTTTATACATTTGTTCTGAAAGCAAATTGCATCTGGTGAGCATAAGAATAGCATTGAAGTGACAATTGTTCTTTTTTTTTTGCAGGAGAAAATTAGAGAAAATTTCCACACTTATTTTTCCCTCTTTGCAGAATGCACAGAATTACAAAGAAAGGGGAGAGGAAGATTGCTTCCCACCCCGGTTCTCGAGGAGCCAGAGCCCGAGTATGCGCCTTGCGATTATCAATTGGCTCAGAGCTGGAGCTGAGCTGTGGTTTGGATTGCCTCTCTGACAGTACAATAGAAGATCACTGTTGATACGAACCCTTTAATTTCGTATTTTGTCACTTTAATGTAAGCAGTGACCTATATGTTTTTAAAAGGTGCTCGTGGCTTATAAACAGAACGTTGGGAACTGGAAAAGATTAATTTGGGCTTTTCCTGCTCCCAAGTTAAATGGCTTAGAGTGTTCTGGAAAGGTCATGTTTAAGGAGACCGCTTTGCTTTCTTTTTCATATTGGAATATGCTTATGGAAATTCCTATACTGAATGGTAATAGGCACTGGTGTGTTTATGTCTGACTTTGGTGGGAGTTGAAGTCATAGGTGGGTAAGAGGGCCTGGACTTTTTAGCCAGTTTACTTTTTTACATTTTCAAATTGTGTATTTCAAAGAGTGAACAATTATGACTCATAAAAGTTACTGAGAAATTAGGAACACTCACTTAAAACATCCTAGATGTTGGATGTTGAAAGTCATTTTCAATTGGAGCTCCAAGGGGCAGGCCTAACACACCATATATTTTTGGCCGGTAGATGAAGTCCCGTGACCTTCGCCTCTTTCCATGTAGTGAAAAGCAGTGTTAACCACCGGAAATTGGTGGAAGCAAAGTCAATCTCCTTTTCTTGTTTAGAGTTGGTTCCTGCCCTTCTTTCTGTGGCCACAAGATTGGGGATTCCCTTTCCTGTTTGAGCCCAGTCACTCCATCTGTTGCAGCATGTGAATGGTAGGCTTTCCCACAGGAGCAAGGGGCTTTAGGGGCTTTGGATCCCTGTGTCAGAACAGCCGGGGTCAGTGTTTCAGGACAGCCTCGCTGGGATGGCTTGTCAGTTATAGTTTGTGAGGTCATCTCTCCGTATATCCTTTTAGGTTTGGGTGATGGTGTGAGTCACTTTTGTTGCTGTGATTAAAAAAGAGTTTATTTGGGCTTATGGTCTCAGAGGGGGGAAGAGTCCATGATGACAGGGAAGGCATGGCATCAGCTGCCTGAGCAGGAAGCTGAGATAGCTTCTACTGCAAACGGGAAGCAGAGCAAGCAGACTGGAAGTGACGTGAGCTTTGAGAACCCCAGTTCAGCTTGGCGATGAAGGAGGCCTGGCTATACAGAGTCGAATCATTTCTGTTTTCCCTACTAGTGTGTTTGAGCAGGCTTTTGTATATTTGTTGGCTGTGCATTTGTAGATCTCTTGCTTACTACTTTTACTCATGTGAAATTATTGGGTTATTGGAGTTTCCTGAAAGTTGTTCTTTTTTATTGGAGAAAGAACCTGAGCTATTTTCTGTCACTGTTAGTTGCTTAAGCATATTGTTTTAGCACTTGGTTTTTCTACTCTAATTTGAACACCATGTCTATTATATATCAGTTTCCCACTACATCTGTCTGGTCTCTATATGTCTCACAATTTATCTGTTTGCCTATTGCTATTCTGGTGTCATTCTGTCTTAATCATCATAGCTTTCATTATGATGTTGTAAATAATGAAAATGAAGATCATTACACTCCATGAAAAACCATATTGGCATTTTGATCATAATTATATTCAATAGGTAGACTAATTTGAATGGAAGGTCTTTTATAATGTTTTTCAATAGAATTTTACAGAAGTTGTTAATTTGAGAGTCCTATGCACCTTAAAATCATTCCTTGGTGCCCTGGGAATTTTCTTCTTAGTGGGAAAGAGATGCTTCCTTTCATTGCATCTGACTGGTTATTTATAGTATATAGAAGAGTAACTAGTTTGTAAGTGACTTTTTATTCAGCAGACTCAGAAACACAATGGACTGGCTTTTAATTATACTTTTATTCCTGCCAACTCCCAAATTGATCTCCTTCCATGGGTAGAACTTGTGGGACAATGTGGATTGTGACCTTATTCTTTTGTTGATGTTTCTGAAGTGTCTCCTGGTATGGTGTGTGCTCCTAGGTCTGAAGCAACCACTGCTCACATAAACATTTTTTTTCTTTATTTGACAAGAGGACCTTTTGTGTCTTCTGATTTCTTACTTTTAGTTAAGATCATGAGTAATT